AAAACGGAAATGTACACCGCAATCATCCATGCGTGTCAGGGGCAGTGGATTCAGGCATGAAATGCGGTGGCACCTGCAGTTACGTTTTCGTTTTTGTTTTTGCAGAGTAAAAAAAATAAAAAAAAATGAAGTGAGGCCCATCCCTGTGTACTACCGGTAGGCCGAAGGTGAAATACTAATATCGGCCTACCGGTCCCCCCTACTTTACGACGTCGGGGGTAGCCGTGGTTTAATAGAAATAAGTTGCATCATCACATAATGTTTCCTATTTTACATCTTTTTTTTTTTTCTTATTTGGCCCATGTCTCGATTTATGTTTGTCATCCTTGGGCGTGCATGCTAATCTTCTCTGTATCATTCCAATTTTAATGAATGTCCAGAAGGACATCTTTTTCCATTTTTCTTTTTTGGGATCTCCTTAATTCTTTCATGCATGTCACCACCGTCTTCCACCCGCATAGAACGCTCGGTCATTATGCCTGCATCCGGACTGAAAGTTGCCCCAAATACGGCTGTAGGTGAAGACGGTAGTTATGTGACAAGGCATTTGGCTACCTTATTCTGGGGTTCAAGATTTTAAACTGGGTGGAGAAATTTACTTATTCGAGCTATCAGTGGGAAGTTGCGGAATAGAAATAACCTGGTAGACATTCAGCTCATGTGGTAGCTTGACTTCCATCGGTGGATAAGTTGGCCAATACCTGCACAGTCAACACACATGCTACGATTGTTTTACAACTTCGCATTGTTTACAGCTAGTTGCCATTTTGAAATTCCCCATTCAGAGGCAGTCGACATCATAGTTCTTTTTGTTTTTTAACACACACTCGCCCCATCTATTCCCTGGGGGGCATCAGTCCGGTTGCTTATTGCCGGCAAGCAACCAATCAAGGAAAAGGTATAGAACATAACACGAAGACAGGAGAAAAGACCCGCCTCCCCGGCCCGAGACACCCAACAGCATGGGACTAACACCTACTCCCCCATAGTCAGCACACTTTCACGGGAGCAATCATTTACGGTTGCAGATTGCCACCTTTCCTAGAGGTTCTAGCGTCTGTGCAGCCCACTGCCAGTAAGCTGATTGCATATCATAACAAAACCGTGAGATGCGGAGGAGGAAAAAGGACACAGGGGACAGTGGCAGGCCTGCCCACTTCAGCACCTCTTGCAACAGAAAATGACACAGTCGAGACACTCCCTCGATTTATGTGTCGTCCTTGAGCAGCCATGGCGAGGTGCAAAAATGACACAGGCGACAGTGGCAGGCCTGTCCACTTCAGCAACTCTTGCAACAAACAAGGCAAGTAGCATGACACAGTATTTGCAGAACTGCTTGGAAAACTTTGGAGACTCCTTTTTTTTTGTTATACTTGTAAATTTTATGTAATGGAAAAGAAAAGCCTTCTCTATGCTTTTTTATTTACTTGTTTATTTTGAAATGGCACATTGAGCTGACTGGCCCTAGGTAAATTTTTAGAGACATTTGTTTCATTCACATCTAGTGCCATCATCTGGATCCAAACTTGGGTCTGCATTTCAACAGCTAATGGGTGTACCAACTGAGCCAGGCTCGTTGGGGTTTTCGTTTTTTTTTCTCTTCTTCTTCTTGGGAATACAATCGCCGATCTCCCTCCCCCGTATTTGTCAAGCTTTTCACTTTCTCGTGTATCCATCTTTTTTTCCCCTTCTTTTCTTTGTTTTCAATGTTTTGCTCTTTTTTTCCCTCTTTTTTTTCCTCTTCTTTTTCTTTTTTTTTTTCTCATGTATATCCATCTAATGTTTTCACTTTCAATCGGATTTTTTATTTTGTTTTTTGCCTTTCATTCCATCTAATCTTAGGATATGGCCAGAATCTGAACATCTGGACAAACATCCAGATGACCATCACGACGGTCCCTCGCAACTCCAACACATGAAGGCCTGACGACATGCACTAGAAGTGCAGATGCTTTTTTTTTTTGACACAAGCAGAGGAGGAGATCAGACAGAAAAGAGAGACAGACTGCCCTCGTGGCTTGAGCCGCCTGTTCAAGGGGGGGTTGCTACAGCACCATCCACTTCCGCCCTTTGGCCTTCTCTTGAGGGTTATCCTGCAAGTCGGGAAGCTTGTTAGCAGCACCCAGCCACACTGCAGGATAAACCGCAAGGGGTCAACACACGGGGGAAAGGGATGCCCTCCCAGCCCCTCTGGCCGCATGTTACCTACTCGACTCATTCCCACCATATCTACCTCGGCCCCACATTCTCTGTTTTCATTTTCCGACTCTACGCATAAAGTTAAGAAAATGTAAACAAATTTACAAAATCATGCTGGCTAACATAATGCTACTCCAACAGCTTCTGATCTGTAAAAGGTGCCCGAATCATCAGGGGCAAACCTTCAGTCCTCAAGATGATACGGACACCTTCCGCATTGAGGCATTGTGTGTTGACCGCTCCTATCTTTAACTGGGGAGCTTGCACCCGTTGGAAACGGGGTCCATACAATCTCTATGGACACATTACGCTCACCCGTGCTTGGAAGACTCAGTTCATCCATGGTGGGAGTGCATCATCACATAAATACAATCTATATGGACACAAGCGTAAGGGGAAAAATAAAAGACATCAGGACCAAAAATTCATCGTCACGGGCAGAATCGATGACGGCAAGAGAGTCGAGCACCACAACCTCATAGCTCATAAATTTCGGTTCAGAGGGTTTGGAGCTCATGGATAGACAGAAAAGACAGGAGATTACCTAAGTCCAATAAGGACCTAACACACCTGAAGCGCACTTCAGACTCAGGTGGAACCAGTGAACCATTCAAATCTCTTTTCAAATGGGGCAGAGGGCTCGTAGTTTCAAAACAGCTGCGACAGCAGCGGTGGTGCTTGTGCACTTCAAGCTTGACATGAGGAAAGAAATTGCAGCGCCATCCAACGACAATCTGGACATCCGAGAAGGCAGAAGTTCCTTTGTGCATGGAAAGGACTTTATCCCCGGGTTAAATTTTCAAGCAACCACGGGCGACTTCTGTGGGACCAAAACTCTATCGAGTCCAGTCCTTCATTCATCCCTGATGGCCTCTTCAGATCAGAAGATTCACTGGGCACGTAAGTACTCGCTCTTGCTAGTTGAGGGTCATTATGCCTCGAGCATCCAAAGACAAATCACAACTAATTATCTTCAAGGCTCAAGCAGCTCTCGATCAAGGAGACGTGCAATCGCACAGACAGAGATGAAAACTTACCCGGTTGTCAACACATGCACATTCATCTCAATCCCAGATGGGAGCTTGGTTCTTGCCTGTGCAGACTGCCGGAACGAATCTATGATGTCTTTCGACAAGTCGATGTCCTATACGCAAAGGCAAAACAAAGACAGTGAGCAGTCTGTCAGAAGTAGAGTCAAGCAGCATTCTGGCTGCAGACTGGGAAGGAACAAAAATAGCTTGCACAGTGCACATCCATGTTCTTTCCTAGCGCAACAATGCCCATAACACTTCAGGCATTCCCCAAGGAATGATGCGAGTGCCAAAACCCTGCTCAGGCAGAAACATCCCTCTATGCCACCAAAATCACCACAGACCCTTTGACAGGCATCATTCACCGTCTCTTACCTTGAACATGCCTTCAAGTTTATTTGTGAACTGACTACCGCATTCCGTCTTCAGCTGCAGTACAAAGACACCACAAGGAAGAGATGCAAAGTGATCACAAACACCGAAAAGTTAAGAAGACTGTCCATTGCCAACATGTCTTCATGGTCCATGCACATGGTAGAGAATTTGAAAATTGAAATTTGACAATTGAAATCACAAGCTCACTGGCCCCATCCTTTCTTTGTAGTACGTTCTCAAGACTTCAACAACTGGTGCAGACCCTCAAAAACCAAAAACAATTATTCTGACAAGGGTACCAGTTGCGGCTTCGCACGCAAAAGATGAATGGGAGAGAGGTGGAGAGAGGGCGCGCGGGGGTGGGTTGGGTTTTGGGG